GTCTAGTCGGCGCGCCGAAGACGCCCCTCCAGCAAAGAGGTCTGCACAGGAGGAGGCCAGCAAGCTTGGCAAACAAGGCCAGTGGGCAGCGGCTTCGCGCAAAGCCCAGGCAATGCAGGGTGGCCTCGGCGCAAGCAGCGGCACCTGGGACCGCAATGCTCGGCCGACGACTGCGATGCAAACGATGGGGTGAACTAGACCTCGTCACAAAAAACAACTGAGGCACCGCGCGCCGCAAGCCCGAGGGGGCAGCGGCCAAGCGCAGGCTGGGGCCACGCTCAGGTGCGGCGTTTGGCGGTGCGATTCCAGCGCTTGCCGCCGCGGCGCTGAGAACCTTTGGGCCGGGTTTGCGTGGAGGCTTCGGCTGAGGCTTGGGTTGCGCGGCCCGGGGCCGCTCCGGCCGCGGGGGCGGCGGGGGAGTCCGGGGCCGAACTGGCGGCTCGGGCTCTGGGGGAGGTCGCTCGGCGGCGATGCCCCCCCCTGCAGCAACGAAGTCGGCGACCCGGAGTAGCAAAAGTTCACGGTCAAGAACGGCTGAAAGGGTGACCTGTCCAATAGAGATGTCCACACGTTGCATGTGTCGCGGCTACCCTATGCCCTCCCGCTTGACCCTTGAGCCAAAAGGCTTGAGCCAAAATGGCTACGGGTTTTTCATCCCACATCATTTTCGCACGGCCGGGTTTTGCACGGCTACGGAGATCCCACTGCAAAACGCGTTTGACCCAGCGATGGCTTTTCAGGTTTCAGCGGCATACGCTGGCAACAGGGGAAATGTTGTTGGCAATTTCACGAGCACGGCTGATACTTGCGGAGGTGCAAAACAACTTTAACAAGCTCAATGTCTGCGATGACCGGGCTCGAAACCGCCACCTTTCTCGCAAAGCTTGGTGTGCTTCGATGTGTTCTCTTGGAGCTCATCCATGACGCACCGAAACCTCGAAAGAACCTGTTTGGGAAGTGGCAGGAGCATGGATGGGCGCCACTGCGGGTCAAAAGCCTCTTGTCCTTTACGCAAAACCATACCCGACGGCAGGCCCAAGGCAGAACGCAGCAAAGATCCGAAGCCACAACCATGAAACATTCAGATCGCCCTTCTTGAAAGGATCCAGTATGCGTCCAACGTTTGGGCGTCCTGCACGCGGTCCCAGTGCACAAACTACGGCGTGAAGTCCAGCCGAAAAATCCACGAAGTCGCAAGCATTTGCAGCCGCTCTACTCCCCCCCGCCGCGGCCGAGGTCGGAGAAGGCCCGGGACCACGCCTAGCAGGCTGAGTCCTCCACCAGCTACCCGTGGGGCGCTTCGGCACAGGGACTTTGTCGCGAACTACATTGCTGTTAAAAAAAGGTGCGTGAAAAACAACCATAATTTTTACCACGTTTTTCTTGTGGCCTGCCTTGGCTGTGGTCCTGTCACACCAGTTGGTTGATGATATCACGGGGCCGCATACCTTCAGTTAACTTGCCAAGGGCTACGAGTACACGCTCCTAGCGCAAGCGCGGTCGGGGCCACTGTCGCGACCAACGCGCTCCTGCCTGACCTCAACCTTGCTCGTTGCCCAGCGGCAGGACGGCCAACGGTCCTCCTCTTTGGAGCGGTGCCCAGCTCACAGTTGACACGACGCTTGTAGGGCAAGCCCGCTGCCACCAACGCTCCAATGCCGGTGCCGCCTTACGCATCGCCCGCGAAAGGGCGGACATATATCTCGTTGTGCTTGGAATTGAGCTGGGTGGCCACTGGAGCACCGAAGCTGCGCAGTTCATCCGACTCCTTGGCGCACAAGCAGCCCCGCCGCTCCTGCGCTCGAGTGCCACCGCCGCGTATGTCACCCGCTGGTCTGCCTTGCTGCTTTCTTTCGCAGCCGCCCGGGCTTTCGCAAGGAGTCTCCTTTCCCTCCCCCTCGCGCACACTGCCGACGTTGATTGGGACCTTTTGGAGTTGAGTGACCTTCTCGGTGCTGCGCACCAGGCATTTCCCCCTCTATCCCCAGCCGCCGACCTCCGCGTGGCTGAGTGGTCCTGGACTGCCAAGAGGCCGGACCAGCGCGCTACCGATGGTTTGATCCGCAAGAGTATCAATTCATTCGTGGCACCCGTGACGCCACACTGCTACACGTGCTGCAGAAATGCTGAAGCGCTGTTGCATCACGCCAACGATAAGCGTGTATAGGTTGACTTTCGCACAACACGCGAGGGTGGCTCGAGCTACTCGCAATTACTCAACCGGTTCCGAGCTGGGCCTTTCCGCGGCATGGAGGGCACCAGCCATAGGTTTGATGCGGTCAACTACAATCAGGGTCGTTGTTGCATGTTTCACCACCCCCGTGCTCCCACAATGACGGCACGATGTCTGCACCTTGTGTAAGCCTCATCGTACACAAATTTCGTTCATCAAGCATGTCCGAACTTCCAAACCGGTACAAAGCGGGGGGATGGTATCATCCCGGTTGCACGTGGTGGTTTTTTGTACAACATCGCTGTAGATGTCCGTGTTGGTTGAGGAGATACGCGAACACGTTCAGAGTCAGCAGCACAAGTCTTGAAAGAAAAACATGGCATCAGAAATGCAGTGGTTGCCGTGTCCGTAGCCGAGGTTGGTTAAGCTTCACGCGGAAGTCATCCTCGGCCCTCCGCTTCATCGGAAGGCGACGCGGGAGTGCCCGGCCGCCTCTGGGGATGAGCGATGACGATGGTACATTCGCAGGCCCGCATGGCGCGGCGTCACCAATGCTGCAGTCGTGCTGTTGTTCTTGAAGGCTGTTGGGTTGACGACTGGTCGCCCACCTTAGGCATCATAGGCCCAACGGTCGGGGATCGGTGACGTATGCTTTCACAACATTTCGCGCCGCACCTGCACGCCGCCGGTATGGTTTGATGCCCGTTTTTCCCGTTTGCTTAGTGCCGCGGGTTATGGGCACGCCCGCTTTCCATCCCAGACCGATGCATAACTGCCGCTAGAAGAAAACTGGAATCCTTACCTTCAGACGAAGGCCAAGGCAAGTACCTCGACACGCGAAGAATGGTGGTGCCGAGACGCAAGGCGCCAAACTCAGTTAGTTGTTTTGGGCGAACCGAGGCCTGCCGGCCCTGGTGAAAATCCCCGGCAGGCCGTGCCCAGGGACAGCTAGGTCGTTGGCAGGAGCAGGCGGACTTTTCCCGGGTGTGGCGGAGGCCCTCCGCTGCGCGTACGATCGTTCAACTTTGGAACGCTTGACGAAGCAACCTGGCAAAACTAGCAAGGGCTGCGACACACTTGCAGGAGGCCGGTTTCGCGTTGCCGTCGTAAAACAAGCTTGCCGATGGCAGGCGCCCGCCTCCTGCCTTCGTAGCGCGCACCGTAGCTGTTGCGAGAGTGGCAGTGAGCCAGTTTGCGCAGGCCATTTCTCTAACCTCGACCCGGCTTCGCGGGTTGATGTTGTCTTGTTGTCCTAGGCAGGCCCAGGCGGTCCATGTGTCTTAAACGCAGTACATCGCAGCACCCACGACTCCCTTGCTTCCGAATCCTTCATCGCGGCTGCCCGTGCCTGTCGGGCAGCGTCGGTGCCGTTCTGGAGGCGATCTCGTTGCCTTTGGTGTGCGCAGCGTGCCCGATTGCCTGTGTTCTTGGAACCCGTGGGACATCTTTGGAGAGAGCTGCAGCGCGCATGCGGCGAAGCAAGGGCGCGAGTGGCAGTCAACATCCTCTAGCGGCATGAATATTGGCGTGCCCCCGACTGACGGCCGCCGCATCGAAGTCTTGGCGAATGGTTTGCCGGTGGCAGGGTGTCCAAGCGGCCGTCGACACTACACTGGTGTCACCAGTCACACGGGGGCGGGTAGCGCACAACCGAATGCCTATCGTTTTGCATGGAGGGCGCTTGAGCAAGCGGCGAAATGCAAACGCTTTCGAACCTACCTGTCACTTGCAGTCGCGCAGCATTGCAAACTTGTTGCACTTGGCCTGGAAGTGCGCTTCGTTGGCGCTCGGAAGGACCTGAAGACTCTGGCTTCCGAACATGCTCGACGTTCTGAAGGTCTGGAAAACTCGAGCGTCAGAGCTTCACGGACGCATTTCAACATTTGAATGTAATGTTCTCTTGAATTTTCGAGCTGCGCTGATACTCTGGAACTCCTGCAAACTCGAGAATCGGAGCTTCAGAGCTTGATGACTTCACGAGTAATTACATCCGGTGTTTTCCGTAAAGTCCCAACAACAAGCCCAAGAACTTCCACGTCCTCTCCATCAACGATTATTGAAAAAAGGGTGGTGCTGCAAGTTGCAAACCCTTCCTGATGTTGTCTGGGCGTTCCATTGACCGCCCACAGCTGCATGTGCTCGGCACGTCGACAGGACAAAGCGTTGGTTGCCCTCTGCCACCATGCATCGTAGAACAGACATCCTTGACCACGACAAACGGGCAGCATGGGCTGCTGCGTTTGTGAAATGGGGCATTGATGCACGGTGCTGCAAGCTGCTGCCGCAAGGCTGCGATGATGCTGGACAGCTCGCCGTTGTCAGACGATCTCTTTTGACCAAGGGCCATCCGGAAGAAGTGTCAGTGGCCGTAAGAGCCGTTTAACATCCGATGGTGTCCGAATTCATCACTCATTCCAGCAATGCAATGGCGGCACCATGGTGCGAATTCGGCATGGGCCAGGTTGTGAAATGCTCGCTCGACATCGGTCGTCGTGCGGTTGGACGATGCCAGGAGGACACGGCCATCCAACAGAAGATGATCGCTACAACTCGTAATTAGCTCGGCCAGCACCGACAGACGTGGCGAATGATGCACATCCGTCGGCATGAAAAGGCGCCTGCAAGAGCCTAGCCTGTCCGAGGCTTGGACATCGCTGCATAGCTCAAAGACGAAGACGTGCAACACCATATCTTGACACAAACCTAACAGGCCAATTGCCACACATCAAGCAAATTGCTGAGACCGCTCGCTTCGCAATGTCGCTGCGTGGACAAACAACAACTGATCATCCGGCGGGCACGCAATACGGAGCATGCTCCTCCTCCTACGCAAGGGCTGGCACATGGTGGCGCTCGGCAAGCTCATGGGCGCAAGCTAGACAAATGCACACTCAAAGGTTGTGGGACTTTGAGATGCGCCGACGGCATGGCGATATTGGGGGCAAGAGCTTTCGGCATAGGTTTAAGCAAAAGCTCGGAATCTTTGCGGTCTTCCGCCTTGTGGCCTCGTTGCCATTGGTTCTATTGCTTGTGGTCTTATTGGGAAGACAAGTGCCAGAGCCATGATACGCCACGTATACGATTTGTGCTTATCTGCATGTCCCGGCTCGAAACTGGGTGGAGCTCTGCAAGTGCAGCGTGCATTCTTGGTAAAGATCGAGCACAAACATGGGCCTTGCCGGGCTTGCGCGGACTTGCATCTGGATTCTTTGTTTTTAGCATTCGCGCTTCTTGGCAATGTGTCTAAACGGTCGGATGCTTGTGCGTTGGCAACACGAACCTCTCGTATTGAGCACAAGCACAGCCAACGCAACCTTCCAAAGGACTTGTGCACAAACCTATCCGAACACAAAACGATCAGCTTGGAACTTTGGTGTATCGAATTTTTAGGATGCGCTACCACTACTGCCAGCCAGCCAGCTGGCCACAAAGCACGAATGAAGGGCAGCCAAGGACAGGCAACCACAAGCTTAGACTGTTGTGGGCTCTGCGCGAAAGCAAGTGCGGACTCTACTCGATAGCCCCAATGCCGGGTAGGACCGACGAGTCGATCACATAATTCTACTCGTGTCCCACACGTAATGGTGTACAAACGGGAACACCACGTTACAAAATGACGCCAACGTTCGCTGTCTGATAGCTCTAGGCACACACGGTGTGCTGGCCCAGTTGAAATTGTTCTCAACACTGCTGCCACAAATCCACTATGAAAAGCATCGAAAACTATTTACGCTATGCGCATCAGGCATCCTGCGGAATGAAATTTTTCGCAAGCACTGATGCATCATCTGCTTGTGGTAGGCAGCCAGCCAATCATCATCGGATTCAGCGTTCCAACCCGGTGCTGAAACTCTTGGAGCCGATTTCGGAACCAGAACGAAAGGAGCTTACAAACCACCACCCATAACAACCAATGCAACATGACAACGGACACTAAAGCGGTGCCACATTGCTGCAATCCAGCAACGCGTCCGTCGGGGCCTTTCCCACAATCACGTCCACAGCCATTCTGGCAAAGAACTGCTGCCATGCATCTTGCTCGTGTGTTGAAGTTTACAACCCTGCGAAGTGTCAAGCGTCAGGCTGCTAAATTGCGAAGTTAACATATATGCTCATCACCTGCCATTATGTCAGCCGTGTTGATCAATAGCATGTTTGCCTTGCGAAAGATTCTGCACGAAAGTTTGCCCTCTTGTGACATGTGTCGCATTCTTCTTCAACGTTCAACTGCAAAGCTTTGACAAGACACAAGAGCAAAAAGGCAGCCAGCGCAACTTTCAAGTACTGAGCTAGGCCCCTAAACCCTAACCACACCGCAAACTTGTGCCCGGCCCAAGAGCTTAAAGTCTTTTGTGCTGATATTTCGGTTTCCGAAAAAGAGGTACGTGACCAGCACAAGAAGGATGTGGCTGGAACCCAGGATCAGACGAATGTATTTGAATGCGGTTAAACATTGGACACGTGTGCTTTGGTCAAAGCCACATCAAAGAACGGATTTTGCTGCAGCCAAAGATTTGCTAAAATCCTTCAACTCAAAATCCTGTCCCTAAGAGAGCTTCAAAGTCTTTTGCAATGGTCAAAAACCAAAGCAAATCGTTGAACCTTAAGGCGGACTGCAAGAATGTTTGACTTAGAAACGCAACTGTAAATAACAACGTCAATTTGCTTTCGGCTTCCAAGAATGATTGCAAGACTTAAAAGTCAAAGTGTGGGCGAAACGGTGAAACATGATAATGTCCTTCTCAGTTTGAAGGTTTTGATAATCACAGCAGAACTGTTGATACGAGCAGCGAGGCTTCATTGCAGTTCGACTCACGACGGCGGCTGCTGTTTCTATGCTATCTGCGGCTCAAGTCTGCGCACAAAAATCAATCTGTTTTCCCGATGCTGAAGTTATCTTAAATCATTTTGGATGGTTCGAGCAGAGAATATTCACTGGAAGCCAAATTGTGTGAAAAGTGGAACTGACAAGTTTTGCTGGAACGGGCCTCGTTGACTATCCGCAGCTCGGTCCCTTTAAGAAACCATCAAATTGCCAAACAAACAAACTTTCGGGTTAACCCCCAACCTAACATCCTGAAACTTTTCGAGAGCGGGAAGATTGCTGATTGAAAAGAGCGGGGGGTTGGGGGGGCGCAGTCTCCCTGGCGAAGGTTTGGGTTTGGCGTGCATCTTGTAACTTACCGCCATGGTTAAAGAAGCAGCTTGAAAACTTTGAGATGTGGATCGGCTTGAGGTGGCAACCTTCCACTGGCTCGAAAACTGTGTTTGCACTGGTTCTTGCAACTTACAGCAACACATGTGAAGGCTCAACCCTCCAGAAACCGGCCCTGCATTTGGAAGGTTGTTGCCTCAAGCCGATCCACATCTCAAACTTTTCAAGCTGCTTCTAAACTGTAACCAGAGCTTTCAATCAGAAGACGCAATAGACAGTAACTGCTTTCAAAACACCGAACACAATTTTCTTTCGGAGAACATGGGTTCAGATAGGCTTGCACTGCT